AGCTCAGTGGATTGAGCATGGGCCCGAGAACCAAAGGGTCAGTGGTTCGATTCCCAGTCAGGGCACGTGCCTGGGTTGTAGGCCAGGTTGCCAGGTGGGGGCACTTGGGAAGCAACTACACACTGATGTTTTTCTCCCTCCTTTCCCCCTCTATTAAAAATAATAAATAAAATCTTAAAATATAATAATAAACAAACATGCTGAGAGAGCTCAGTTGGGAAAGGGTAATCTTTTCAACAAATGGAGGTGGAAGTGTTGGGTTGACATATTTATGCTGTTTTTAGTGGCTAAAATAATTTTTGTTCTTAATGGATTCTTTTGCTGTTGGTTATTTATAGATGAGTTAGTTAACCATAGTTAAGGGTAACTGTGTCAAGTGGACCATAACCATCTTTCAAACAGTACCACAGTTTTCTTTCCCCTCTGTGTGGAAAACACGGTGTGGTCAAGGATTGCATGCTGGACTTCCTTTCTTTGGTGATGGTATGTGTGGAGCCCCTCCTCAAGTTTATTGTGAGGATACATGAGATGACAAGAGCCATCCGGGTCACCATCTGGTTGTCCATGCCAGCAGTTACCGCCCTAGTTTTTATGGCATATCAAACTCTGACATGAAAGTAGCTGTTAAGGTTGAATTTAATGTTTTAGGTGTTCCTTTTAGCATTCAGGAAATGAAAACATGTAATGTGTATAGTCAGTTCCTGTTACTTTACTAGTGAGGAAAGCTCAACTCTGTCCCAGCCCAGCTGCTCTGCAGGGTTCCGAACCCACGTCTGCCCAGAGAGCCATACTCCTGCTGTGCAGCTCAGGGCTGAGCCCCTCCCATGCTCCGGGTGCAGTGCGGGTTTTTGTTTTTCCCTGTATAGCTAGTATGGTGAGAAGCTGGGATTTTAAAACTTTTTCTGAACTTTTTAAATGAAATGTAAATGCATATAATACTCTGTTTCATTGTTAAAACCTGGGATAATCTCCATCCAGATCAAAATATTCCAGCATTACTAGCTAGCCTCCTGAGAGTTTTCTTGTACTCTGTACTCAGGAGAGTACAGGAAAGTTTCCTGTCCTGAGAGAGTCTGAAGTAGCACTCCTGACTAAAGTGAACTCTTCTTACCTGTGTCACTGTAGCCAAGTTTTTACTGTTGAGATTTACATGAGGAGAACAGTTGTTCGACATTACATCTGATTCACAGGCTTTTTCTTAGCAGCCATTCTCTTCCTCTTTTGCTGTATAGTATTCCATTGTGTGAATGTTAAGCAATTTATCCATTCTCCTCCTTTGAACATTTGGATATTTTGCAGTTTGAAATATAACAGAGTAATGACATGAACATATGTAACCATTGGGTTTTTTTCCACAGCGGTAGATAACGGTTTAATCATTTGTCAAAGTTACTGTGTCAGTTCTGCAGTCCTGAAAGCTGTGAGAGTTCATGTTGACCCACATTCTTGCTAACACTTGGTGTTAGTTTAATTTTAGTCATGCTTGTGGTGTGTATTGGTATCCCGTGGTTTTATTCGTGCTTGTCTGTTGTTTGATCATGAAGATGCTCTCCTGTGTTATCTTCTAAAAGCTTTCCGTCTCTGGTTCATCTGGAATAATTTTTGTTTTGTGATCTAAGGTAGGGGATCAAGGTTTATTTTCTTCCTTTTAGATGTTCACATGGTCATTGTCACATAATGAAAAGACCTCCTTCCCACTGTGTGGGCTGCAGGGCCTTTGTCATCAGCCAGGTGGCATTCCAACTTGTGTTCTTTGTTCTGAACCTTTGGTCTAGGACCACCTGTTGTGATGACTGAAGCTTTATAGCCTTGATCTCTGGAAGTGTAATTTGCTGAACTTTGCTGTTTTTCAGAATTGTTTTTACTATTTTTGAATGTTTGCTTTTCCATATATATATATTTAGAATAAGCTGGTTGATTTCCACAAAATGCCTTATGGGATTTTTTGACTGGATTGCTTGTAAAGATCAGTTTGGGAGAATTGCCATATTAACAATGTGAGTTTTCTTACCATGAATATATCCCTCAATTATTATGTCGTCTTTATTTTCTCTCAGTAATATTCTCTCAGCTATAGAGGGTTTGAACATCTTTTGTTAGATTTATTCCTAGGTAGTTGATGTCTTTTGACATTTATGTAATTGATTTTAATATCATTTCCTGTTTATATTGAATAAAAATCAACTACTTCCTATGTCTAGCTACTTTAATTTACATACTATTTGAATCCTTTAATTGTATATTCCTTTGGATTTTTCAGGTATACACTCAATCATTTTAAGATTCATACTTTTTTATTCCTCAGGGGAATAAAAAAGGAAAAAAAGAAATCGAAACAAATCTGATCCCAGAGGGAATTTTATTTTGGGGGCCCAGATGTGTGTGTCATGATATGATTGCTGATGCATCAACATTGTTCCTTAAGAGCTGTCACAGAAGAGCTGTCTGTGTTGTTGCATGTACCAGTATCTTTTTTATTTTTGTGGAATAAATATTCCATTTATGACCGCTAGAATTAATGCATCCATTTGCTTTTCAATAGGCAATTGTGTTCTTTTTCTTTTTCTTTTTTTTCTTTCTTTCTTTCTTTTTTTTTTATTATTGTGAACATCACTGTGCCAGTCTGTGAACAGATGCTCTCATTTCATCAACTTCAAAGTGGTTTTGCCATTTCAGTCCCACCAGCAACACCTCAAATTCTGGTTTTCCTGCCATGTCTTTGTCAACATTTGATACTGTTAGTCTTTGTTGTTGTTGTTTAAATCCTCACCCAAAGATATGTTTATTGATTTGAGAGAAACATCAATTCATTGCCTCCTGTATGTGTGCTAATGTGGGGGGATCAAACCCACAACCTAGGTATGTGCCCTGACCAGGCATTGAACCTGCAACCTTTTTTGGTATATGGGACAATGCTTCAACTAACTGAGCAACCCAGCCAGGATAATACCGTTAGTCTTTTTTTTTTTTTTAAGATTGTATTTATTTATTTTTAGAGAGAGAAGGGAGGGAGGGAGAGAGAGAAAAACATCAATGTGCGGTTGCTGGGGGTTATGGCCTGCAACCCAGGCATGTACCCTGGCTGGGAATCGAACCTGCGACACTTTGGTTCACAGCCCGCGCTCAATCCACTGAGCTACGCTAGCCAGGGCTACCATTAGTCATTTTTATTTTAGCCATTCTAGTAGAAGTATTTAGATCTCCTTATGGTTTTAATTTGCATTTTCCTAATGTAGAACACCCTTCCAAATGTTAATTGGCTTTATGGATATTTTCTTTTGCAAAGTACATACTCATATCTTTTGTTCATTTAAAAAATTGTTTTGCTTTTCAATAAATAAGGTGATTATAGGCAACCCACAGCTGTGGGCTCTGTCTAGATGCCCCCTTTGTTAGGTAGAGGACTGTAACTTTTCCCCATGTGCTGAGATTTTGTGTCAGGATTAGCATAGACTTTCATCACAGGCCTTTTGTAGCAGTTGAGATGATCATGTCATTTTCTTCATGTGGTGAATTACATTGATTTTTTTAATTTCTTGCATTCCCAAATAATTTTTTATTATGATCTTTTTAAATATATCCATAGATCAAATTCACTAACTGGGCCAGGACTTTTCTTGGTGGGCAAGTGTTTTTTGCAGTGTGGCATTTTTGCTAGTGGGTTCCATTCTTCTCCCAGTTCTTTGGTGGCAGGTGTAGGTAGTGACAGGCGTGGCTGTGGCCTAATACCCCAGGTGCACTGTGGGGTGCAATGGCATGTCTGGCATCTGTGCAGCTCTATCTTCTAGGGGTTTTTCCTCATCCCAGCAGTGCCTGGTGGCCCCTCTTTCTACTCTAGATGCCCTTGGAGCTGGCAGCATGTTCTTGCAGAGATCTCTCTAGTCACTTGAGGGTGTCTCTCATTAACTGCTAAGGTTAGTGGATGCTGTGGCTGACTAATCAAGCTGGAGGACCAATTGAGTCACAGGAGGAGGGAATTCAGTGGTACTCAGTGCTGGGAGATAGCTCCGCCTTGGAGCATCCCTACCTAAAGTGGTACTGTCCGCTGAAGGGTTGGATCCAGGGTGTCCAGCACTGTAGCCAGCAAAGCAGGGACTCCTGTCTCCACACAGTTCTTGTTTCATCAACATACCCACATACACACTCTTTGCATTTTGGGATCGGGCTGCCCTAGGGCTGAATACACTGCCGTTTCCACACATTGACCTCACTTCATATGATACAACACTGAACAGGAAGCAGCAGAATTATATGCCCAATACACATTGAGATCTCCATTTATCATCTTGAGGTGGGTACTGTCTTCCATTCTACAGATGATGACACTATAGTGATAGACTTGGCCAAGGATGGCAAGCTCATCAGGGTACCTGGAAGTTGGGCTTGTGAGTCTTTACCCTGCAGGACAGACCTACCCCGAGACAAGAGCCAGGAAGAGTGGTAATAAGGACATGTCCTACCAGTTCTCCAGCTAGCTCTTTCTTTGGAGTGGTCATCTGCACTCAGGCTTACAGCTGTGGGCTCTGCTTTGGGACTGATGCCTTGGTCTGTAAAATCTGTTCTGAAGTCAGTGTCACAAGCCTGTGGTGATGCCAGAGACAGCATGAGCACTGGTGGTCATGCCAGGCCATGTGGGACTGACTATACAGGGGATGTCAGACAGAAAAGGAGGAGAACCCAGCTCATTTATGGTGGAAATCAAGACTCTACCTGTCCACAAAACTTTTTAAGGCTCTTGTACTTCATTATTGGGAAAATGAGTTTGGGGACAACTGTATCTCTGAGTACTCTGCTTTCTTCATACTCATGAGAATATTTGTTAGCCGCAATTTCTCAAGACTACTCTCTAGGTTCAGATCAAGAATTGGGGCCATGGGGGATCATGGACAGGGCTCAGCTGCAGCTGCTTTAACTGACACATAAATGAAACCATGGTAGAAGTGAGGGTTTTGAGACTTTAATCTGCAAATGCTATCTGAAAGTGTTATTTTCTTTTCTAGGATAAAGATAAAGTTTCTCTAACCAAGACCCCAAAGCTGGACCGCAGTGATGGAGGGAAGGAGGTGAGAGAGAGAGCAACCAAACGGAAGCTGCCCTTCACAGTGGGGGCCAATGGAGAGCAGAAGGACTCAGACACAGGTACCAGGAGCCCGGTGTAGCCTCTGCCCCACCTGCTATCTTCTGTCCCCTTGCTCCCTCCTGACTGCCTCCAGGTCATCCTCAGCCTGGACCTTTCCCACATCATATCTGCCAGACTCTTGTCTTCCACAGAAAGTGTCCTTGACCCCCATATTCAGGGATATGCTGACACTGGGCTTACCTCTAAGGTGGTCCCAACCCCATTTGAGGAGTCCTGCTGGAGACCTAGGGGGCAGCCCAGAGTGAGGCCTCACAGCTCCTTCTCCTCTTTACCTGATTTATTCAGGGCTACCTGGGGATGATAGGGAAGATTAACACACAGAGAATTCACATAAGTATACAAAGTAGAAGTACCACCCCCTTCCCTGGCATGCCCAGGGGACCTCCCATTGTGTGTTCAGTTGGTGAAGCTATGAGGCTTTTGGGCATTCCTGGCTCTTTTTAGTCCCTTGAAAGTTTTTCCTTGGAGGATAAACATGTTTTTCCCTCAGAACTACAAAAACACAAATTAAACTCAATTATTTGAAATAAAAGCCAAAGGGACAGCTGAAAGCAGGACCCAGCGCAGTCTTCTTGTGAGTGCAGGTTGGCCCTGGGTGTGGCATGTATGCATATGTGTCTCTGTGTGTACACATGTGTGTGTGGTGCGCACACATGTGGGTGGGTGTGGCGGTGTGTGAGCATGTGCCTGCACACAAGTAGTGTGTACATGTATGTGTTGCGTGTGTGCGTGCATGTCTCTGTGCCTTTGAGTGTGTGCTCCTGAAAGGTTAATAATACTGTGTGTGTACACTTTCAAGTAGGTACCTTGTTGAGCTGCTTGCTGGGACCTGTGCTGTGTCCTAGCAGTAACCCGGCCTCTCCTGCTAGCCCACACTCTTGTCCTCTTGATCCTGGTGCCCAGGGGCCTTCCCAGCCTGCTGATCATCTGACTGCTCTGCAGACTTGTAGGCCAGTCACAGGCCAGGGGTGTAAAAGGGCGCATAGCACATAGAGCTGTGAGATGGGGTATGGGTTGGGGCTTTCTGCTTGTGGGGATATGTATCAGATACTGAAACAAATAAACGTAAGAAAATTGGGAGAAATGGCAGAGGGAGGAGCCACAGAAAAAATTGTTAGTGTCAAAGCTTTTATTCATGAGGTCACAGGTCCCTCACCCACACCTGCCTATGCAGGTACTCCTAAAGTGAGTGAGTTCATGGTAGCTGGGCAGAGACTTTGGTTAGTTAAAAGCCAGTGAAATGGGTTTGGTTTTGCTGGCTGGGACATGAGGAAGGTGGTACGGGCTGCTTCAGGTCCTTTGGACCAAGCCCATGGTTTCTGTCACTGAGCAAGCACTTTGGGAATGGGAAGGGGTGGGTGTGCAAGGGGAAGGGCCAATACTCCATGGAGCAGTGGAGCAAAGGCATGGTGTGGGTATGTGTGGACATGGGGCTTCTGCCAGAATAAAGGGGTGCCCACAGAGATTCTGTGACTAGGGCTTCAGGTCCAGAGATCAGACCAAGCCTGATACCCTCTCTTATTTTTGGTGTCCATAACAGTTCTGGTTGTGGAGGGTGTACTGTTGCTGTTGGTTATTGGCTGTCTGAATGCTGAGGGTATAGAGTTTGGCACCAGACCTCTAGGATGGTTCTGTGAGTCCCCAGAGCCTTGCTTGCAGAGTCAAGGAGACAGTGTTAGAGCTTCCACCTCCTGAGACAATGTGTCGCCTAAGCAGCTGCATTTTGCAGAATGTGCTTAGAGGCCGACTCTTGGCTGCCCACTCTGTCTGGTTGGTAGGATTTTTTTGAGGGTCTGTTTTATCTTTTTCTTTTTCTTTTTTTTTTTTTAAGTTTTATTGAATTTATTGGGGTGATACTGTTAATAAAACTACACAGGTTTCAAGGGCCCATTTCATTTTGATAGTGGCTTCTTGGGTCTGTGTGCTCCAGCAGGCCTCACAGATTAGTCTGCTGATAGCTAGCATCTTCTTAGCAGGAGGTGTCCACGCTGGTTCTCTGGGGTATTCAGAAGATTCTTGGGGCACTACGGGAGTGCTCACGTTTACATTCTGTGAGTCAGGACCCCAGGTGGGGGCAGGGAAGAAATCACCATGAGGTAGGAAAAAAGTGAAAAACATTTAGAAAATAGAATTTTTTAAGCAAGGTCTAAGTTACAAAAATATAAGTACATGTGAAATAGAGTATTTGCCTGTCTATATTTATTTTCCTTTTGGGGGCTGATTTTAATAACTTACATATACATCTACTCTGTTAATATGACACTAGATTTTCCAGGGAGATGATTCTGGGACATGGTATGTCAAGTATCGCTTGTATAAGGAGCCTCTAAAACTAGCTGATGTTTGTGCACCGTGCACAGCAGTGAGAGGCCCTTTGCCCAGGCTTCCCTGCTCCAGCCATGATTACTTTGCCTGTTACTTGTCGTCTTTCCACTTGCCAGTAAGCAGGATACCTGAGCTGAGCATTAATTCTGCACTAACTAGGAGCATTTCTTCCTCAGAAATGGGGCAAGATGGAGTGAGGCCATTTCTCTTGAGAAGCACAGACCTGTGGCAGGTGCTGCCCCCACTGCAGGTCTGTACCTGAGGAGTAAGCCATACAGGGGAAAATTACTAACTCTGACCAGTGACTGAGATAAAGAGACTCTGGTCCCTTTGGTCCGAGGGAGAGTCCTCAGGAGTGACAGACCTGGAGGGAGGCTGTCTTGCATTCTGCTCCTGCGTGTTCCTCCTGCGCCCTCTGCTGGGAAGATGCGATTTGGCACTCTCTACAGGGGGAACACAGCAGAAGGCTCCAGAAGTTGGGGCTCTTGAGTGGTAAATAGTGAGTTTCCTCGGCTGTACCTTGAGTGGACAGAGGCTTCTGAGCCTCCCCCAGAGACCACTAAACTGCCTAAGGACCTTCTTCTGTTTCCTAGACCCTCAGGAACTGCTGCACGTGACCCAGCCCACAGGAGGCCTGTCTCTGCAGCGCTTAGTCAGGGCTGGGGGCGACTTGCCAAGAACAACACCCATCTGCGGTGAAAGCTGGAAATACTCTGCACATCCAAGCCCAGGCAAAGCAAATTCACCCTGACATGGTTTGTCATTTTAGCTGCCTGCATAGCACCCTGGACAGCTCGTGTTCAGGTGAATATAAATGTGTGTGAGGACCTACTGGCCAGAGCGTGACCCAGAGCCAAGTCTCTGTTAGGGCTGCGTGCAGGCAGCACATGCTGTGTCCTGGCCCCTCTGGCCTAGGGCCGAAGCAGGTCTGGCTACCTATCTTAGGAAGAACAAGCAGGCCACTCCAATGGGACAGCTTCTCCCAGGCAGGTCACATGAGGAGGCTCAGCCTGCCCAAGTGCCTGCTGCTGACTCGCTGCTGGTTTTGGTGTAAAGCATTTTACCACTTACAATGTTCGTGATGAACTTAAATGATGTCTGGAACCTGCTTCAAATTATACTATTCTGCTTACTTTTTATGTGTTTAAATTTTTCCATAACTTGAAAAATCTATAAATATTGTTCAGATTGGTTTAGATGATTACCTACCCACTTTAGGCCTCCTACATAAGTCTTTTGAGCCATTACGGTTTTCTATCCCTTAGTCTGAACATTAGCCTGCTGTCTCCTACCTGGAACCACAGGTGGGCCCTATATGTCCCCAGAGGCCACGTGAGCTTCTCGGCCAGAAGCATCAAGAGCTGGCAGCTGCCTTTTATCAACACTTGAATGTGTCTTTGGATTGAGGAAAAATCAGACTTTTCTTATTTTGCTTTTACCTCGTGAATAAAACTAGTCTCTGGTGCTAAAATGTGAACTCATTCATTCAGTGTTCGGAGTTCAAGGACACTTTCCGAAATCATGATCACCCTGGCTCTATAAGATGGGAAGGTACTGGCTGTTGTGACTTCTCAAGGGCTGTCCCCTATTTGTGAAATGAAGACATTATCTCTGCCTCTGGCATCTGCAGAACTTCTTGGAACTTAAAACCATGCCCTCCTGAGCATTGGAGGTGACTTTTGCATGATGATAAAGGGGCATCTGCTCACTACTGAGTGCTGGACTGTGGCAGAGGAAGAGAAAAATGGCACTGTGGGGAAGTGACACCACTGTGAAACCTCTGGCTATAAAGGGTACATGCCACCCACAGCATGGCCCTAGGAGCTCTCAGGATTTAGTTGATGTATTATGGCAAGACTCCCAAAGCTAGAAGGACTGAGGTAGGATGCTTTAGCCACATGCATTAGGAAGCCCTGCCTCAGTCTACACTGAATGCCTGATCACCTCCCATCTCAAAGCAGCATTGTGAAGAAGAACAAAGCCACACCCATTTCTATGTGACTCTTGTACTATGTAGCTAGACTTAAGTTCCACCCATTTCTGACCCACCACTGCCATGGAATAAAGATGAGCCTTACTACAAACAGAAAATAGATGGGATATGCATGTTGGTGGGGCTATAGAGCAGAAGGTGAAGGGAGCCCAGTACCTGTGCCTCCCATGGTAGAGTTCGAGGGTGAAAGCCCCGTTTTCTGGGGAACCACATTTGGTCACTCATAAAGAATCATATCCAAGTTAAATATTTTCATATAATTAAGAATTCCTCTGGTCAAGCTATTCCCCAATCATTTTTCTTCTCTAAACCTGAACAGCTGCTCCTTCCACAAAGAGGCGTTTGGACCTGCAAAGGAAGGAAGGTTCTTTGTATTTAAAATTCTCTTATTTGCCCCATTTGCACAAAAGGCGTGATTCTGCAGAGTATCACAGCCTCCCTCGGGGCCCCTTACAGGTGCACTCCAGTTTCAGCGATTTGCTGGGAGGACTCACAGGGCCCTTCTTGTAGTCCTACCCTTCTTTTTTTTTTTGAGAGAGAGAGAGGCGGGGGGGAAGGAGAGAGAGACAGACACTGAGAAACATCAATGTGCAGTTGCTGGAGGCCATGGCCTGCAACCCAGGCATGTACCCTAGCTGGGAATCAAACCTGCGATGCTTTAGTTCGCAGCCCACGCTCAAT